CAACTCCCCTTGAGTTAAACAGTTGAGTTTTACCGTTTTCGAATCCATTCAATCTCTGGCGGTAACACTTTTAGCTGTAGCTTAGCATAGATCATTGAATCTGATTAGACCGTTAGCATCTCGCTCAAAAATGACCAAAGAGTTTCTATATTTTTCCTATTTAAAACTTGACTCTTCTGTAGTTACATCATGTACTAAGACCGACGGAAAATGAAAAGTTGTGATTTTCTAGGCCGATATGGCTAGGAACTATACTCTCATTCCGGCGTAATAATCAAGGAACTTTGCTGCCGTACCATGGGTGCAGCAGGCGCAATGATATTATGCAACGCCTGAAAATAGGCTAACTTACGTCAACATGACCACCTGCTTGCACAGGGAGCGTGCTGGGGACTATTTTCTGGCACTGCGTAATATCATTATTCTGTCGGTCTTAGTACACGATGTAACTACAGAAGAGTCAAGTTTTAAATAGGAAAAATATAGAAACTCTGGTCATTTTTGAGCGAGATGCTAACGATCTAATCAGATTCAATGATCTATGCTAAGCTACAGCTAAAAGTGCTACCGCCAGACCCGGAGATCGACTGAATGGATTCGAAAACGGTAAAACTCAACTGTTTAACTCTAGGGGAGTTGGAAAATGAGCCTATTTTCAAAAATAGTGGAGTGTTCCTTTAAATTTCATATGAAAACGATCGACTCCTCCCCGTCTTTCAGCGCGTTCTTTTTCAATCCGCAGAACGCAGCGCGTAGAGTGAGAAACAGAGGACAAGGTGTGTGTTTTAACGATAGATTGTTATAATAATATCTGCATCTGTGCAGTTCTGTTCTGTCATAAATACAGTTTACAAAATATCAATCGGTTCCCCATCTACTGTAGCCTAAGTTTTTGCTGCGTTCACCCCTCATCACACCACAGCTGTTTCCTCCAGTGAAAATGAAGCACATATGAACACACACTTTATAAAAACGATCATGTTGCCATTTTCATTTGAAAACTTAACTTTCAATGCAATACATTTTTCAGTGCATGTGGCAAAGAGATTTGCATGCTTGAACTAAGGAAAGAGGGTTGTACTAGAAATGCAAACAGTAAAATTGTGTGTGTGTGTGTGAGATCATGAAGACTTGTATTTGGTTTATTCAATTATATGTTATACCTATCTATGCAATACAGTGGAATACTGTATTGCATGTATATGTATGTGTGTGTATATATATATATATAATACCCTCATTGGGGGCTGAGCCCCCCCTAAAATGAAAATCCTAGAATCGCCCCTGATGCCTGCTCAATGAATCAATGCAATTGTTTTTCCTCATCACATTTTTAGATTATTGAAAAAAAAATCAACAAATATGGCAACTCTATAGGAAAATAAAATGGTCAAAACTATTTTTTAAGTAATGTAATTAAATTCTTTTTTTTTTTATTGAAACATGACAAATTGAGTGATTTTATTTATTTTATTTTTTATTTTTTGCCAGTTTAATGGGGCATATTATTTTGAAGCATCAAACCAATCATAATTGTGTTCCTTCTGCATTAATACATAATTTAAATAAATAAATATCCACAAAAGAAATTGTGGTACCACATTACTCACAGCCTTTATAATGCATTATAAAAGTATTTTAATGCATTCATTATGCCTTGTAATGCACCTAGTAATGCATTGTATGATCTGATGAATAGTTTTAACCACATTTATAATACATTATAACACTTGTGCATTCATTTACACCTTGAGAAAATACAGTATATGCATATAAAACATGACAAATAACCAATTTTTAGATGTAAAAAAAAATATCTTAAAATATTATAATGCATTTTGACTCTAATATGCATTTGAAATCTATAATGCATTGCAACATACATTGCGAATATTTTTATAATGCATTATACATAAATACTATAGTGTGTGGAACTGTTTCCTGCAATGCAATGCAATCAACTGCATACACGTTTATAATTGGAGTAAAAACACAAACTACCTTTATTTCAGGGATGATGACGGGACCGAGCGTGGAAAACCGTGCAGTGTTAGTATAGGAGTTGAGTTGAAGTGTGTGTGAGAGAGTGAGAATGGAGTTTGTGTCAGATGGATTCGGTTTGTTGGGTCTGACATGCAAAAACAATAGGATCCTTTCAAATACATAATTCACTGTCTCTCTCAATTCATCATTAGAGAGACAGTCTTTCTAGATCCAGTGTCCGACCGAATGAATCTCTGATTCTGAAGAGAAGCTGCTGAAATACTGCTTTCATGACAATGCCATTTATTATTTGTTCTCAAATAGACTGTCTCAAGGAGAGCAGAAAATGAAAAAAAAAAGAAGAAAAACTCACCTGATCCTTTCAAACCTCACACATTATTTTAAAAGAACTAAGGAATATCTATCCAAAATCTATGTAATTACTTTCTCGCTTTAATGTAGTATAAATGATGTAGAGAAGGGTCACAACAGATAAATGTATAGATAGTTATTCAGTGTAAAAATAATTTTAAAGCAACAGTTATATTGGAATTGTAGAGATAATGATTTTTAAAAACTCTTAAAATGATGGGAAATATCTAATATTTTATTTTATTTTATTGTAATAAAATGTTTTTGATTATTTTATTTTATTGCATTTGAAATATTTTTAGTTTTGCATTTTATTTTATGCATTTTATTTTTTATTTTAAATAATAAAAAATAAAATGTCATTTTCGTTTTTTGTATTTTATTTGATTGCTTTTTTTTATTTTATTTTATTTTTGTGTTTTATTTTGTATTTTATTTATGCATTTTAAACAAAAACATTTTAAAACCCTAATTTTAAAAATCCAGAAAGAACTTGACTTCAGGATGTCAAATTACTTTTGACTTATAATGACTCTGAACATTAAACTGACACTCATTTTATACATTGTAAGATATATTAAATATTGTAACTGTGGAATACTGCAATCATTTTGTCATTCCTTCTTTGTTTATCTTTTTTTGGCATGTGGTTTCCTATTTGATGTTGTATTGTCTGGCGAGGGTCATTCCATTGTTTCAAATGAATTCATCTGTATATTTGGCTTTGACAGGTGGCCGTTTCAAGAATAACCGCAGTAAACACAATCTGATGAAGGAGCTCTGCTGAATGCTCGGATGCATTGACTGTAGGCCAGCGGCAATTAAACACCAAGTTCACGTCCGAACGCAGACAAAAAGCACACATTGCTATGGAAACAAATGAAATGTGGCGTTTCTGGTTGAAATGACACATGACATGACCTCCTATGGCTGGAGTCCCGCTGATGGTTTAACTAGTGTCATCATGACCAGTTCAGCACAGAATGAGACGAGAAATGATAGCAAACAACATAAGAGCTTCTGTTCTGCTGCTGTTTCTGGACGATTGAGCTCGTTCATCACAGCGGGTTCAGCGGTCAATACTTCTGTCTGTCAGCAGTTATTCCTGCTCTCTAGCTAGAGTTTGCTGGAAATAAAACCAATGTTGTAGGCAGGAAAAGCAAATGTGATGGTGTTGGTCTCTCCCTACTGGACAAAGAATATACTGCATTCAATCATAAGCACTTTTTTTTCAACTTTTACAGGAAAGGAAATCTCTCATATTTGTTTATCCCTGCACATTTTTAAAGTTTAGTATCTTCTGCTCAACAAGGCTGCTTTTATTTGATCAAAAATACAGTAGAAACAGTAATATTGTGAAACATTATTACAATTAGAAATGAACTATTTTCTGTTTGAGTAGTTTTTATAATGTCATTTTGAGATAGTTTGTTTATATACATACTTTTTATATCTTTCTATAATATAAAAAATGGTTTTAAACCAATGTTATATATTTTAAAGGAGACATATTATGCCCCTTTTTACAATATGCAATATAAGTCTCTGGTGTCCCCAGAGTTTGAGGCTGCTTGGGGACCTCAGCTTGTCTTTGGTATGAATGAGAACCTGTTACAAGATTGAATATATTCTCAAATATACACTGTTCAAAAGTTTGGGATCAGTAAGATTTTTAATGTTTTTGAACAATATCTCTTCTGCTCAACAAGGCTGCTTTTATTTGATCAAAAATACAGTAAAAACAGTAATATTGTGAAACATTATTACAATTAGAAATGAACTATTTTCTGTTTGAGTAGTTTTTATAATGTCATTTTGAGATAGTTTGTTTATATACATACTTTTTATATCTTTCTATAATATAAAAAATGGTTTTAAACCAATGTTATATTTAATATATAAACAAGAATTTTTTTTTTATATATATATACATGCATGTGTGTGTATTTATTTAAAATGTATATAATAAATATACACAGTACACACACATATGCTATGTACACAAAAACGTTTATTTTGGATGCGATTAATCGTGATTAATCATTGCCCAGCACTAACATAATGTATGTATATAATGATATATATTCATACATAATTTATCATTTTAATAATTAATTATAATTTATGCATTTAGCAGACGCTTTTATCCAAAGCGACTTACAATGCATCCAGTATATACATTTTTACTAGTATGGTAAATATATATATTTATATATATATACTGTATTTACATTTATATAATGTATGTATGTTCTCATGTATTGCCACTCAAATGCTTTCAGTCAGAATGGACTGGATTTGTATTATTTTATAGATGTTTTTATCTAAAGGCCTTTGCTAAAGGAGTAGTTCTCTCAAAAATGAAAATTTACATCTACAAGATGTAGATGAGTTTGTTTCTTTGTATTTTAGCCAGAAGCAACAGTTTGAAGTTAAAAATGTCTTAATGATGGATTTGTTTCTTACAAACACGCAGCATTTGTCTTCTCCAGATGTTCACTGATGTTGGAGTGGTGTGGATTATTGTGATGTTTTTATCAGACTCTCATTCTGACGGCACCCATTCACTGCTTGTTCTACAAATGTTCAAGGTCTATGTATGTATGCAGGAACAAAGGGGTTATAAAATTGCCACAAATATATAATTTAACAAGTGAATTGAACAGGTTTAATGACATTAATGTACACACAAGGCAGTACAGGACGTGTGACAGGTGAAACGTTTACATTTACAACACGACACACGTAAATCCAAAAGAGCATAAAATAAGACATTGTGTGAGTAGTTGTATATAAAATGGATACAGTCGTTGATTAATAAGGCCTTGGACATGAAGCATACATGCATGACATCTTTGTTGTGTTTAATTGCACTCATTAGGAGCTTGTCTGGAGCATGCAAAAATACAGCTGCTTCTCTCATGAGATCAAACCATGTAGCACACAGTCCGTTTGCTACAAAATATTGTAAACATATAATACATCAGCACCTGTAGTGTCCATTTCAACAGTCCAACCAGAACGAACGGCCACTGGAAGGGAGAGATCAGTTCAGTCTGTGGCCTTTATGCATCAGTGAATGGGTCGTTGAGCTCAGAATAATGTTTTAGCACACAGACAGCTGATATGAATTAATTTAAGCAATATGATATGTGATATTGCTTTTATACAGCCATTCATATCGAGTAACTGACATTATATAGCCAGTCATTTTGCTGTTGCTCTGCCAAAGAAAATAGTTCCAGAAGAAGCTGTCAACAAGTTAGTGATACAGTGTTTAGAAATACTGCTTGCGCAATTAAACTAGTGTAGGAGAACTAACTGTTGTATAGGCCAATATAAAGAAAATAAAAAATATATAAAATGGATGATGATTGGTCAATGCAGCGTTCCAGTAGTGCTTAAATACAAGAAACGGCTATGACGTAAAACACATTTTAGCATAACAAAAACTGCATAACAACATTTAGTCAAGTCAAGGACTGTATTTTCTATCGGAATGATTGCAATTAATATAATAATTTAATGAAAATATTAAAATAAAAACACCGTCAACGAGAATAGTTCCAAAAGAAACCAAAACGCGATTGTGTTGCTAAGCAACGCACAGCGGACTGATACAAACAGTGAACTTCCCAGTGATGTTTTATGAAAACTTTAGGAACGCTTCTTAAAAAATATGACATAAAACAGATAGGTATGATTGATCACTCGCTATGACGCAAAACAGCGTTCGCCTTATTACCGATCGCTGGTTTCACCGCATAGCAATGTTGATGGTACTTAATGATTGTTTAATAAAAAATGTCAATTTTTAGAATAAAAGCAACGAAAATAGTTCCAAACGAAACCAAAACAGAGTCGAACGCGCAGACTGACAGCTGTCACACGTACAGGCGGACTAATACTTAAACGTTTTAGGAAAATGTTAGGAACGCTGCTTGTCCAATCAAACATATTATAGCCTATTAAACCACAAATAACAGATATAACGTTAGTTCCTATCTTTGCTGAAGACTGATCCGCGAAACAGCGCACGATCGCTAGCAACGCTCTGTCAAGTCAGGGACTATGTTTTTGCGGAAGTGGATTTGCTTAATAAAACACCGTGGTTCCTTAATATTTCAGTCACTTGAGGTCGTGCTATCACCGACAATAGCACAACATCTCGTGCACTGCTGTGGAAATGTGACGTTTAACCAAACCAGAGCATGTTGTTCGTCAACCACCCAAACACTGATCGATAAAGACTGTCCTCTAATAAGCTTGCACTTGATTAGGCAGCAACTGGCACCCGTTGTTGACGTGGTTCATCACTCTCTGCTTTAACTGCGCCACTTGCTCTCTCAGCACGCTCGCCGTGGACGCGAGCTCCGTGTTCTGGCTCTTCAGGTTTCTCACTTTGTCTTCCAGCCGGGATATCCGCTCTAGTTTCCGCTTGCGGCATTTGGAGGCGGCGATCCGGTTGCGCAGCTTCTTCCTCTCGGCTTTGATGCGCTCCTGCGTGTCCATGTCGATGGGGGAGAGCGGCGGACTGTCGCCGAAGATCTGCATGTCTGGAACGGTCTGCGGCTCGTCTCTTAGCGCCGGCGGCGGAGGGAACGTAATGGTGTCCGTGGAATAGTTCATCGTGGTACTCCCATACGTGCTCAAGTTCGTATACACGGGCAGATCCGTGGGCAAGGCGAGCGCGGTGCTGCTGGCGAGTCTGTTGAGCGTCGGAGGGACGCACGCGCCGCCGCTCAGCTGGTTCTGCTTGTGAAGGTCCTCCAGGGCTTTGACGAAGCCCTCCGCGAACTCCTGCTCGTCGCTCACCGACTTCGGGTAGACGAACTGGGAGGTCGGCGTGGTGGTCACCATCCCGTTGGCCTGGATGATCAGCCTCTCCAGCTCCGGAGAAGCCAGCTTGAGGAGCCCCAAGTCGGGTGAATTGAGAATCCCTTCAGCATCCCTCAGATCTGGCTTGAGGTTGGAGCTGTTCTGGTCGTTTAGGTTCAAACTCATGTCTTTCTTCATCATAATGCGTGATATTCCTCGTATGTCCTCGTCTGGGTAAAGGCTTGTTCCCATCCTACACCCTACAGAGGGATGAGCTGGGTCGGCTGTCCAAACGAGTCATTTAGATTATCTTTAATGTTCTTAATTCTTGCCGCGAACGTTTGTTTTTAATCGATTTATGATATTGTTTTATGATATCCTTGCTTCTCCCCGCGCGAGAGGTGTCATCTATGGGCGTCAGTACGCATTTGCAAGTTTTCTATCCCTAAAAATTCCATTATGTCACTTTAGAGCGCTGAGATTGGCCAAAGATGACGTCCTCTTCCGGTTTCGTTTGCATAAGGGGCCGCGCTCGCCGCTGTCGCCGCGGAGACGGAGAGTAAACGGCAAACAGTGCGGTGCATTGTGGGTTGATGTCATAGCGAACGTAGCGCGCGGGAGGGTGGAGAAACGAGGCAGTCTGGCAGAAAATGTTCCCTTGTTTTTGAACGCGTTGAAGGTCTTTGGATGCTCGATCAAGTGTTCCACTCTAGTTTCTTCTGATGGAATCATCCACACTCTCGGTTATGTCTAGGGAGACTGTACTAGAAATAGAACACAATCATCAATATTTCTTCACTTTAAGGGTTTATTTCCACGTTTTGAATCCCAAGTTTTTCAAAACTTGTGAATACTACTGTAATATATATATATATATATATATATATATACACACACGTAGAGCGGGGGCGGGTGGTATATATATGTATATATATATGCAAAAGTATATTGTGAAGGTCCTCCAGGCTTTGACGAAGCTTTACTTTTGCATATATATGTATATATATATAAGCAAAAGTATATACACTTCCTCTGTCAGGCATTATGCAACTGATGTGATATTGAAACAGTTTTAATATTAGAAAACTACATTCATATTAAAAATGTTTCATCAGCATTCTTATTAATGTAGTTTTTGTAGCGCAGCCTATGTATTTTGCATTTTAGTAGTTACATAAGTAATGTGGATAATGAATGCAAAA